AAGGTTTGTGTGTCCAAAAGACCTTCCTGTGATGATGGAAATGTGGCTAGTGTGACCAAGGAACCAAATTTTTATTTTTATTAACTCTGGTTATAAGTTCTTAAGAGAAAACACAGGTATAAATCTTCATGCATTTGGATTTGACATGGATTCCAAGGGCAAAATCTTCAACAATTCGGGAATGTGGCCAACCTGCTGGAAGAGAGCTGCATTTGTGTCCACTCCAAAAAAAAAAAATTCCTGAACAGTACCATTAATTGCAAACACAAGTAAAGTGTGTCTGAAGATCATTCAAAATTGGTTGCTGGGAACTGCCAGGAATTCAAGCACATTCAGAAGAGGATGTGAAACAGGGGACGATGATATCACTGATGTTAGATGGACCTTGGCTGAAAGCAGAGAGTACCAGAAAGCTGTTTACCTGTGTCTTATTGACTATGCAAAGGCATTTGTGTGCGTCACGGCAAATGGGCATTCCAGGACACGGAGCTGTGCTCACTTGGAGCCTGTACACAGAACAGGGGCTGTTGTTCAGACTAAAAGGACGATGACTCATTTAAAATTAGGAAAGGTGTGCTTCAAGTTGTAAAGAAGAACATGGCAATCAGGACTGGGGCAAAACTCATCAACAACATGCAATATGCAGATGACATAACCTTGACTGCAGAACACAAAGACTTCTGTATGGATTACACCTCAGCATAAAGAGAACAAACATCCTCACAACTGGACCAATAAGAGTATCATGACAAATGGAGAAAGTCTAAGATGTCAAGGATTTCATTTTACCTAGATCAATAGTCAAGAAATCAAAAGGTGTGATTGCATTGGGTAAATCTGCTGCAAAAGAACTAAAGTGTGAAAAAGCAAAGATGTCACTTTGAGCACTATTAGTGTACCTGACTTAAATTATGGTATTTCCAATAGTCTCATATGCATACAAAAGCTGGGTAAGGAAGATGGGAGTGGTGATGTCTTGGCGAAAAATGAACAAAATCTATCATGGATGAAGATGAAGCCGAGGCTCCTTAAAAGAAAGGGTTGGTGAGACTTCCTCTCACATACGTGGACAAACAAAGAATAAGGACCAGTCTCAGGAGGACCAAGCCTCTCAAGGAAACAGAATGCCACAATGGCTGGAAGTAAGTCTCAGACACAAGAGAGCTTCAAAATGTTCATGGAAAAACATTGTCTTTCCCTCCTTTTTTCTGCAAACGTTTTGAGCTCTTATTAGCAACAATTGAGAGGCTAGCAAGAAAAGACGGGCAGTGTGGCATTCGGTGGTACTCGGGGTCACCATGAGTCAGAAGTAACTCAGTGCCGGGTAACAGCAATAAACTCTAGGGCTGGTGATGTATTTCATGAGAATCTGCCTGCTATCACTGGGGCATGAGGACTGCCCCGCCTCCCTCCCTGGTGGGCACAGTTTGGATAAAGCATGTTAATTTTAATTGAGTTTTTATGTAGTTATGAATGTTAACTACTACATGTATTTATGCCTAATCTCAGAATCTGGTGAGAGCAGGGTAACGTGATAGGAACCCACCTCTCTACCCTGGGGCTAGCTACTACAGATTGTCAGCTTCTGTGCTTTCCTGTTAGATTGGGAAGTCACCTGGCACATGTCTTTGGTTTAACCCTAAAAACAGCTGTTAAAAGTCCCTTTTGAGATTGGGTGTGGAGAGGAGTGGAAGAAGGACCCTGCTCTCTCAGCCATCAAGTCAACCCTGTAGGACAGGTAGAACTGTCCCTGTAGGTTTCTGAGGCTGTAACTCTACAGAAGTAGAAAATTTCATTTTTCTCCCTTGGAGTGGTTTGGAACGGTTGACCTTGTAATTAGCAGCCTCTTAACAAGGCAGGGCTGTATTTATTTCTGTCTGTATTTCTGGTGGGACCCCTGACCTTAATGATGCCTAAGATAAACCCATGCTTCCCCTAGTCCTGAGGCAAGCTGGGAAAGTTCTTCAAGGTGCATCTGGGATTCTCCACAGACGGGAATTTCGATCTTGTCCAGCCCACATGAGTAACATGGTGCCCACTGCACCACTCAGCAGGAGTGTGGAGACCTAGCAGCCAGGACCTTCTCCAGAGACGCTCACCGAGCGCCGGGGCCACACCAGCTCAGTGGGGACGGAGGCATTCTCCTGCCCATAGGGAGCTTCCAATTTAGGCGAAGCAGCTTTTACCTGAAAGCAGTTTGATGCAATGCTACCTGCATGAATGAAAAGGTATTGTAATTTATTCAACCCAAAGTTCAATGCCTATTACGAGGGCATGCTACGAGACTTCATGTTGCTGGCATTCTTACAATTGCCAGACCAAGAATAGTCACCATTTCCCAGAACAACTGTTTGAACTCTACAGGCCTTGTAGAGTTTCTTTGAAAGTTGGGTGGTGGAAAGACTCCGCCAGGGTCAGGGTACTGGCCATTACGGTTTACATCCTTAGAGCGAGCTTTGGCTCTGCTTTCTTTCTGGTCATTGCTGGACTTTTCTTTGGGCCCATTTTAATGTACTTTTCCTCATCACAATTTCTGAAACTTTAAAAAAATGCTCTGAAATCCTTTCAAAAGAGCAAAGAAAAAAATATTACAATCTTAGAAAGCCAAATGAAACTGAGAACATTAGTTTACTGGAAATTATATTGTATCATCATCAATTTGAACTTTTATATGTGAGTACTCTATGGATGTTGGAAAAAAGAAGGGCAGATTGGAATTTTAACCTAATATTGGAAGCCACCAAGTCCATCTGACTCACAGAACTGCCTCTTTGGGTTTGAGGCTGTCAATCTTTCTCCCTCGGACGGGCTGGTGGGTTTGAATTTTTGACCTTGTGCCTAGCAACCCAATACATGATTCA